TTTTGAGATAGGTATATTTAAAAAAATTATGTTTATCCTAAATTTTGATTTATTTTCAAAAAAATATAGCACACTCACTGATAACATCTAAAATACGTAAGATTTTTCGTTTATTGCCTATTAGCTAAGGAATCTTGAGAATCTAAAAATATATTATTAATTAATCCCATTTTCATTATGGTCTATTTCAAAAATAAACTTTAGGGTATAATCGGAATAATTATAATTATTATTAACCAGGAAATTAATTTGTTTGATTGCTTTACTTAACTAAAAAAGGAGCTTTACTAAAAAATCTATAATTAAAGTTTAAAAAAAATCTAAGACGACTTATTATCATTAGTATTTTAAAACTAAATTAAACTTTCACAAAAAAAAATACATATCACTTACCTAAGCTGGCCATAAACTCGTCAAAGTTCTCATCTTTGTCAAGGGTGAATTCCGTACCAAAACCTGCCATTGTTAAAACTGAATTTCTTGCTAGTGTCCGACACAGATTGATCAGAAATTTTCAAGCTTTCTATTTATATTGACACCTACAAATCGTCGATGAAGTTGGTTATCTCCAAACATCTTATCTAATACCAATTCGTATTTACACATAAAAATGACTATCACCTATCTTATCAATAAGGTTTCTTCCACATGACTTGATTTAAATTTAATAAGAGTTTAATTAAACCCTTTCTATACTCATTCTTATTACCTAATGTGTACTAAAGTTTTTTTTATAAATGATACTACACTGCTCTTTCTATAAAACTCTTTCACTCATATATAACTATATAAATATATCGATAATGTAGTAGTAATGTAGTAGTGAGTAGGTAGTGTAGTGTATACGAGGTCTTAGCGTATTTAGGTACTTATTTTTTTATATTTATAATACAACTTGTGGACTGAGTGTGGACAAACAATATAGTACGTTAAATATTCATTGTATTAAAGAAATATGTATATCTCATAAAAATATGAAAGTGATTCTTATTATTATTCTTATAGGTAATATTAGGTAATATACGAGTGGCTTTACAAATCAAGATTTTTTCATTTCACCCTTCTCGCTAACACTAAGTACTTGAATAACTTTTTTCGCGTACCTTAATCATTTTTAATGTATTCTAAACTCACAGGTGTCAACTGTAGGGTATTATTAATAAAAACTATTATAACCCAATTTTATTATCCTACCAAGCCTTATCATATGAAAAAATTGTATACTATAGTTGACTTTATTTATATAAACATGATAGATTCTAGGTAAGCTGTAGAGCAGTTTTTTCCCAAATTTTTTTCAGTATTTTTATCCCAAGTACCGTGAGAATTTTTTTTAACGAGATAATATTAATATATTATCTATGACACTACAAAAATTGGAAATTTTTGCCGATGGATGGATTATATTGGTGATTATTAAATTAGTCAAACGAATAGTATGTAAAAAATATAATATGTATATACAAAAAGGAAGGAAGAATACAACGTATATTCTTATTAGTCACTTTGAGAAAGATAATTATTATCGTTGATATATCGCTACTAGGTATATCAAAATTGATAATTTGCGTTTTGCACTTGGAATTAAATCAACGCATTAGTCATCCTTCCATCCAAAAAAATACAATAATTAGTAACGTTGTTTTAATTAGAGATTATTATAGAAAAAATATTAAAGTAATAATTATCGAAAAAGAAAACATTTACCCTTTGGGACTGAAACATATTTTTATACTAGCACTGCCCGCGGCTCCGCCCGCGTTCAGATGACCAAAAACTAAATTCTTAGGTTTTACATATTATTAGTATACTCTTATATTGCAGTTTTTGTATTTTTTCTCAGAAATAGGACATTTTTCCGCGGTAAAAATTATCCTATATGTTGACTCGGATAACCAGCTATGATCATACCAAATTTCATCAAAATCCCTCCAGTGGTTTTTCGGTGATGCGGTAAGAGACAGACAGACAAAAGTTTTTAAAACTATAGATTCAGCCTCTGTATCGATAATAATGTTTATTACAATAAGTTTTTCCAAAAAATATTTAATGTACAGATTCGGCTTACAATTTTATTATATGTACTTATAGATAAACGAATCGATTTTCTCCCAAACGTAGGCGAGGGTTGGTTACGACATACCTAAGTCTTCAATATAAAAATCATACAAACGTACCTATACTTCATTAATTTGAATTTTGTTTTTATCGCTATATTAGTATTACGCATCAAAGAAAACCTATTTAAGAAATTAAATTTTATTGTTATCTCATAGGTACGTATCGTAAATTTATGATAAGATGCGTGTAAAATCTGATATTGGCAAAGTCAAGGAGTGTCAAAAGTAGCACTCGTACTGTATTACTCATAAAAATTTACACACATATATTGACACAGATATATGTAATAAGTATGTACATATATATCACAGGCTCTACTATTTATCTACGTCTGCTCCTAGGACATAAAGAAATGGGTTGAACTTTTAGAACGATTACTGTTGGAAATTTTCCAAGGGTATTAATTATAAACTGTAGAGTCCATAAATTGCCCGAAACAGAGAGATAGAGTAACAGTGCTATGCATACTTATGCTAGATGCATACATCTTAAGACTTAAACATACTTCAACATGATGCATCCAGTAGTTGGCCTTTTAAAGTTCTGTTTTCTTATATATTTTCTTATATGTTCACATACATAGGTTCTCTCAGACATGCAGGTTTTCTCACGATGTTTTCCTTCACCTTTTTTCAATGTCTATGTATTTTTTTTATTACTTGCTTAGTGCAATAAAGAATATTATATTTTATCATATTCATAGATATCCTAGATTATGATTGACCTCATATTCGATTTAACTATTAATATTTCCCATATAATCATTTTTCTTTATCTACCATCGCCGATTAGAGTTCAAATGTATAGTTATGTAAGGTGTAATCTTCAGCATGACTATGTCAGCAATTCTATGGAAAGTCGAATCACAATATCGGATGGTATCGGCTAATCCAGTGACTAAACGAACAGGTGATTCATATTCTATTACACTCTACTCGTAGGTATATATAATAGACGATTTTATTAGCTTCTAGTAACGCGCTCAATATTTAGTAATATAGAAATCTGGGAATATTCTTCTAAAATATTTCCCTAAAGTCATAAATATTGCATTAATATTAAAAAATTACAATAACAAATAAGTACAACGTACTCTACACTAATCTATACTAATATTATAAAGAGGTAAAGTTTGTGAGATTGTGAGTTTGTGACGTTGTAGGGGGTAATCTCTGGATCTACTGGACCGATTTAAATATTTGGTAAGAAGATAGTTTGAGACCCTGGGAAGGACATAGGATACTTTTTATCCCGGAAATCATCCTTTAAGGGGGTGAAAATGGGGATGAAAGTTTGAATGGGGAATCAAGCTAGGGACGAACCCGAGCGAAACGAGGGTGAGTCGCTAGTCATCTATAATTCTATAATAACTGAAACAAGAGTGAGTAAAGACAGTAGATAAGCCGGGAGGTACATAGGTAGGTACATATTTTTTTTTTTAGTTAGATGTTATTCATTAAAATTATATCTAAAAAAACCTAATAAGAGAAACTTGAATCTGAAATATTAAATTTAGTTCAGATCTAAGTTTTCTCTAATTTACTCCGCTGATATGAAATTCGCACTGAACATCTATCCGTTTGTAAATTCAATATCTTTTAAATCGATTTGTTTTAGCAAATCGATGAATCATATTTATCACCGATCATATTTATCACCTGCAGTAACAATAATTAGTAATTAGATAAACATTATATGTAATAACGAAAATCCGATGTAAGATTTTTTTTTTTATTTTGTTTTTTTTTTTGTTTGAAAGGTTAATTAGTCCGGAGTGTTCTTAGCTATGTTTGATAAAAATCGGTATAAAAAGGTCGGGTTTATTTTTTAATTTTTAATTTATCACTTGTATATATCGTATATACATAATATATTATGTGCATGTATGTATGCAGTATTGCCTATTGAAATATGGTCGAGGGTACTGAAATATAAATAATAATATTTAATAAACTAAGAGGATTAATTATACCGTACCTCTAAATCTATGATTAATACGTATTAATTGAAGGACAATGTATGGGGAATATGCAAATTGTGGTATTTTTAAAGATCGAACAATTTGATCGAAAAACAGAGGGTATAACATAGGAAATTTCAGCATATAAGCAAGTTAATACCAATCAAAATCGATTTTCGCGGAGAGCGATTTCGACTTCGACTAGCTGACAAAACACCGTCATAGTTCAGCCATTTCATCCATCACTCTCCAGCCCTCTTAACTCCACACAAAATATCACGCCAATCTGTCACTGTTTCGACAAACAAACACACTTTCACATTTATAATATTAAGTATGGATATGGATTGCGTCGACCACTTAATATCTTTTTTGTTTCTTACTCAGGCATTACTAATTAGAAAATAGTAGTACTTTGATTTAGCCGTAGTTTATTAAGCATGAGGTGAATGGCACTTCATTTTGTTGTCGAAACTGCTAACTGATAAATTCATTTACACTAAATCAATATGTAATAAATAGACAAAGACGACACAGCTCAGTAACTTTTTCTCCTCTGTTTGTCAAACTTCTTGTTTTTCAGTACATAGCTATTGACGAGTATTTAGTGTTATCAATAATCAATAAAAAAATATGGATACGGTAAGTTTTTTATTATATATAGCTATGTAGGTAAAGGCAAGGTTCTTTTGCTCTGTTTGTCAAACGATTATCTTTTTTTTTTGTTTAGCAGCTATGGACGAGCTTGAGTGTTAACAATATAAAGAACGATTGTGGTCGGATTCCTGTCACTGAGCGAATACCAGTTCCTATAACTTATAAGGCACAAATAATAAAAACCAATGCAGGTATAATAAAAATATTTATTTAAATGAATTATATTAAATTACTATTAATTAAGATTAGTTAATATAATTTAGACCACTAATTCATATATTCTAATACATTTTCCATTCCAACCATCCGCAGTTGTTATCTGAAACAATAAAAAATATATTGTATATTCATGTATTTTAAGTTTTTTTTATCTACACGTAGGTAATAATTTCTTAGATTGCCGCGAATATTTGACATTTTAAATGTATATTTACAGCAATTTTATGCACAGTAATATACATAAATATAATATACTAGCATAACCAGCGGCTTCGCTCGCGCTAAAACTACAGAAAAACTAAAAAAGTAGGTTTCACACAATCTTCATCCGCTATTTTACCCCCCTATGGGATGAATTTCGAAAAATGCTAAAACACATATTTATTTAATTGTATTGAAAAGTATTAATACCAAGTCTCACGTAATTCTGATCATAAATATTTTTTGGGTTGTATTATAATTTATAACGCATTTTTCCGTGGGAATGAGATTATCTTCCGCGGTAAAAAGTAGCCTAGTTCACTCTCCAGCGGCCCAGCCCTCCAAATATCTCCACACAAAAAATCACGTTAATCCGTCACTCCATTTCGACGTGAAAGAAAGACAAACAAACAAACACACTTTCACATTTATAATATTAGAGTATGGATCTATGTAGTACCTAAAAATCCTATGTTTTAAATTTGAAGAATAAAAGTGTACAGTAAGTGTATATCGTAAATCAATGTTCATTGTCAACCGACAATTGTATGTAGATGACCTATCTATGTACTTTATGCAAATGTACACAATTGTAGTAGTATTACGTGTACTTTCTAACTAATAAAGTATTTGCCATTTGTACCTATAAAATATATAACATATTACATATTAAATAAAGATAGATTGTGTTTTTATTATCGAGTACCTTATCAGCAGGTACCTATAAGTACATGGTACCTACTTTATATTTGACCTATGTATGTACAAATAAATTGTACGTGTAATAATTTTTTATAAGCACTCTCAAGATAAGCCCAAGACATGTTATTAGGGTTCCATATTTAAAGGGACCAGCTTTAATACTGAGTAGCATTGCCCGCGGCTCCGCCCGCGTTCAGATGGCCAAATACCAAATTTTTAGGTTTTACATATTAGTATACTCTTACATTTCAGTTTTTGTATTTTTTCTCAGAAATGAGATATTATCACATGGTAAAAATAACCTATATCTTGACCCGGTTTACCAGCTATTACCATACCAAATTTCATCAAAATCCCTCCAGTGGTGTTTGTGTGATGCGGTAACAGACATACAGACAGACAGACAAAAATAGATTCGGCTTCTGTAACGATAATAATGTTTATTTCAATAAGATTTTCCAAAAAATATTTAATGTACTGATTCGGCTTAGTTACAATTTTATTATAAGTATAGATTATACACGCTCTGTCTTCTGTTCGTACGTTTATTTGTCTGCCCTACATTTGAAATGCTATATTTTTTTAAGAATAATCTTAACGTAAATATCGTAATGGTAATTAAATAAAAAATATAAATAGCAAATAATAATATATTTTTCATGTGCCATTTCGTTAGCAAATACTCTTATGTATCGCAAAATTGTATTGTGTGGCAGGACGGAACCCTCGGTGCACGATTTTTTTATCGTTCCCCACTCCCATACTGTTTTTGCCAATGAGGTCACCTTATTTTATCATTTGATTTATAAATCAATAAACAACTATAATTATTAGGTACACTTAGTAATAGCATTATGCACATATATTTTTTCTTTTTACCTTTATTCTACTTAATTTGAAATGTACTTAATCTATAGTATAGATAACATAACATGAAACTATAAAACGATAAACGCTTGTAACAAAAAACACTTTTAAATTATTATTTTTTTTATAAAAAGCAGTCATGAGGACTGCCGGCAGAAGTGATAACTTAAAACTATAAACAAAACAGTTGCTATTTTTGGATATTCAAATTAATTGTTTAATCTTAAATTAAACTTTGTAAATTAAAACTGTTTACATTTATCTGGTTTTGACATCTATCGGCACTCTGACTGTTAGCGTTAACACGTCACGTGACCATGTCGATGATAACTTATCCAAACCTTTTTTTTTTTTTAACGTTAGGAAATGCCTTTACGCATGACGTGTGGGACTCACCGACGTAATACAGCCAGTACTACCCACTAAAACCCAACAAAACCTTCCCCCGTCTTAATGGGGCGTCGCAGGATCGCTTACGCATTCAACTACGACGCCCCGACGGCAGGTCTGCCGAAGCAGACCACCACAACCATGGGGTTGCTCCACAGTCCACTCTGCTATCAGAGAAGTACCAGGAGCAACCCGCATGGTACACCGCCCCCGAAGAGGGCCACCTCCCACCGCCCACCGAAGTGGGCAACCTCCCTGTGCGTTTCTTAGCTTCGCGCCCGGTTGGATTGCCGGACACTACTGAGCCCCCCCACCACGACAAGGTGAACGCACGTTGGGGGGGGGACTTATCCAAACCTGCCTATATACGTTTTCACTTCAAAATATCGCCCTTGGCCTTTTAACTTCATTAAAATTACCTACCTGTTAATATTTTGATGATGAATGTTGCCGCGTCGGGGGACCGCTAACACTTTATCATTTTCAATTTTCTTTTTATTTGTATTCAGCTTTTTATTTTATTTACTTAGCGGTCCCTCGACACGGCGACGAATCATGTGAAGTCATGAAAGTACCTATTAATATAGGTACTTTTAATGAAGTTAAAAGACCAAGAGATAAATTTTATTTTTATTTATTCTACTCAATTTTTTTTTTCATTCTTTTAAATTACTGGCGGACACTAATTCTAATTGTAACTCTCATTGAGACTATTCTTATGAGCAAATTTCTGAGGAATTGAACATCCCGCAGACTGTTTGATGCTACAGAATCAGCTCAAGGTTAGCATGTCTTGGAAATAACACCGAAGTAACATTTGGGAGCATCTATTAATTATGTGAGACAATTTTGGCAATTTTTCGACCAATCCTCCCCCTTTGGTAAGATTTCGTGAGATTTTGCTCGACCCCCTCCCCCTTCCCTAATCTCACGTGAGATTATTTTAAATGCGTATTTGCAATGTAATTGAGTTAATATGTGCTTCGATTACATTGGATTTATTTAAAAAAAGAACAATTTTCTTATATACTTTTTATTGAAGACTAGTTAAACTAGTATTTAAGATTTTTAATAGAATCACAACGAGAAAATCAAACAATAAATAGTACTTAAATAGGAACTATTAAAATTCGTAAAAGAATATTATACATATATTTATTGAATGTTAAGAATTATTTGTTCATCTGTGCATATAATAAAATTGTAACTAAGCCGAATCTGTACATTAAATATTTTTTGGAAAATCTAATTGAAATAGACATTATTATCGATACACAGGCCGAATCTATAGTTTTTAGATTTTTTGTCTGTCTGTCTGTCTATCTGTCTGTTACCGCATCACAGAAAAACCACTCGAGGGATTTTGATGAAATTTGGTATGGTGATAGCTGGTTATCCGGGTCAACATATAGGATACTTTTTACCGCGGGAAAATATCTTATTTCTGAGAAAAAATACAAAAACTGCTATGTAAGAGTTTACTAATACATGTAGAACCTAAGTATTTAGTTTTTGGTCATCTGAACGCGGCCGGAGCCGCGGGCAATGCTAGTAAATAATAAACGCGTCAGTATTAAATTTAAATTTATTTTATTATTACTTACCACAGTAAGGGAAGTATCAGTAAATTCTCTTATGTGCGTTGATTTCCTACCATTGTCTTCTATTTGTGTTTGTATGAGACTGTTGCCTTCAATAGTCATAACTGATTTTACCTGAAATACAAAAACATATTTTGTTTTAATTTTCTCGTTTTGTTTTGTGTTAAAAGTAATAACAATTGTAATATTTAATTAAGAAGTTACTATAATCACAGATCACATAATACATACTATTATTATTATTATTAATGTTGGGTGTGGTGCCGAGGTCGGCCCTAGCTACGTCGACCAGTTTTGGTCCATTGTATCTCCCTTTATACTGAGTTCAAAGTTCTCCGCTTAGTCCTGTTGACTCCAGGAACTTCCAGATTTTCTGAGCGGGGAGCATCTGTATCTCTTCCGGTTGCATAATATGCTGCCCTAGATAGATACTTCTGCGGTGCATGAGTGGACCGCACGAGCAGAGGATATGCATAGCAGTTTCCTCTGTCTCATGGCATAGTCTGCACATTGCGGTCTGACTGAGGTAAGTATTCTGGTTACTGCACTGGTTTTATACTTGTTGAGTTGAAGCAACTCTTTTGTAAACTTTTTGCGATATCCCTTAATTAGCGCTTTAGAGTGTATTTGTCCAGAAGTGGATTGCCACTCTTGAAGTGCTTGGCGATTGCAGTGAATTTTGAGAATTGAATAGGCATGTTGTTTTGCAATGCCACAGAATGGTTCTGGCCACAAACTGGGGTTTCAGCGCCCCTTCTTGCCAATGCATCAGCCTTTTCATTCCCATCTATGCCTGAGTGACCCGGGACCCATCTGAGGGTAACTCTGTTGGATGTGCCCAGGACATTCAGATTATCCATACAGTCTTTGACCAACTTAGAGTTGGTCTCAAGAGAATCTATAGCCAGAAGTGCTGCTTGGCTATCTGAGTTGATGTAGATATTTTGGTTTCTAAGCTTCCTCTCCAGGATGACTTCAGCACATTTGTTGATGGCGAAGACCTCGGCTTGGAAGATGGTGGCCTCCTTGCCCAGATTGACACTCATGTCAAATCTAGGCTTAAGGCCATAAATGCCGCACCCTACATCAGATCCTTTCTTGGATCCATCCGTAAACCAAACATGACTGCCCTTTTTGTGAGACTCTTGGTTTTTTAGCCACATGTCCCGGTTGGGAAGATCTATTTGGTACTGTTTTGCGAAGTTAAACTCTGTACTCATGCCATCGACTGGCATTTTCAGAGTTTTGTGTTCGAATGTCAACTCCTTGAGTTTGTTCATATATTGCGATTGCAACTTTACATTCGATTGTGTACAGAGCCTGTAGAGGCAAGATTTAGCTTCTTTTTGCACGTGGAGATATAGCGGAGCTATGTCCAACAATGCATTTAGAGCGTCGCCTGGTGCCGAGTGGAAGGCTCCCGTGATGATTAGACATGCCATCCGTTGTATGCTGTCTAGTTTACTCATAGTTGTCTTTTGTTTGGTTTTGTTACACCATACGACTGAGGCGTATGTTATGATCGGCCTTACCACGGCGGTGTACATCCAGAGAGCCATTTTGGGCTTGAGGCCCCACTTGGCTCCAGCCATTCGACAACATATCCAGAGGGCCATTTTGGCTTTTTGTATAATGTTGTTGAGGTGAGAGTTCCAGGTCAACTTTTGATCAATAGTGACTCCAAGGTACTTTACCTCATTTGATAGGTTAAGGGTTTTGTATACATACTATATCTATACATGTAATAAAATTCTAACTGAGCCGAATCTGTATATGACATATTTTTGGAAAATCTTATTTGAAATAGACATTATTATCGATACAGAGGCCGAATCTATAGTTTTTAGAATGTAAGTCTGTTTGTCTGTCTGTTACCGCATCACGGGAAAACCACTGGAGCGATTTTGATGAAATTTGGTATGATGATACCTGGTTATCCGGACCAACATATACGATACTTTTTATTGCGGGAAAATATCTCATTACTGAGAAATCTATACGAACCCGAGCGGAGCGAGGGTGAGTCGGTAGTCTATATATATAAAACAAAGTCGGGTTTGTTACAACACTTATAACTCAAGAACTGCTGGCCCAATTTTTCATGGTTTTTGATTTCTTTGGATTGTTCGTATGGCTAGTACCTACTACTTTCTATGTGAAAATAAATGAAACAGAATAAATATCAAACCAATCTTTCTCTTTGTTATGATAAACCTCAAACTAATCATAATGGAATTTATATTTTAACGTAACTGTAGAGTTGAGAACTGTGTAAAAGAGCTATACGTGCCCTAATTCTGCTTGGGCACAGGAGTGTGATTCTTCCCATTTTCAGACTTGTACTAAGAAATTCTTGTCATAAGCCTACCTATCTTTTACCTAGCCTTCTTTTTATCCTTGGCGCGATCTAGGGCTTGAATTCAGGACCACTGGATCTGTAACCTTACATAGAAGCCACTAAACCAGACCAGACGAAGCACTCAGTATCGTGCATTAAGGTAAGGCTCCATGAAATAAAAAAGGACATGCTGATCACTATAATAACGTGGTGATAAAATATCAATCTTAAGGCAGAGTAGGTATATTAATAGGCACTTACAATTAGTATGTATCTCAACAATACTTACTTTTACACCGTCAGCTCTTTCTTCAATAAATTCTTCACCTAGTTTAAAAGTTACAGACACTTTTCGTATAGGAGTGACTAGAGTCAAAGAGTAAGATCCATCTTCGTTTTTCGTCAATATACTAGTTGGGGATAGAGATGTAGCTAGCTTTCTAGATAGCATGCCCACTTCTGTAAAACAATATTATAAAATTCAATTAGTAAATTAAAGTTGTGAAAACCTATCTTCATGATCCTGCAGATGGATGTGAGTTTGTGACGTTGTAGGGGGTAATCTCTAGATCTACAGAACCGATTTAGATGATATTTGGTAAGAAGATAGTTTGAGACCTTGGGAAGGATATAGGATACTTTTTATCTCGAAAACCATCCCTTAAGAGAGTGAAAATGGGGATGAAAGTTTGTATTGAGAGGAACCCGAGCGAAGCGAGGGAGAGTCGCTAATATATTATAATATGTAAGTAAATATTCAATGAACCATAGATTTTCGTCTTTAATTAATCGATGAATAATAATCGAGGAAGAATTGCATAATGTAGCTAATACTCTCACGTGTTCCTTTGTTTATATTGAGGCCAAGCCTGTGTATGACATACAGTTAACTTATCTTGTCAACTTTATGCCGTAATCATACCATACATTATACATGAATTTGTTAATAATAATAAGTACCTATTATAATATGACGTACAAAGACAATGGTATTAAATACCAAATTGAAGTTTTTTTTTTGTTTTTAAGGAAATAACCTTTTAAAAATTAAAAGTTATTACCTATTATATTTTTGAATTGTAGTAGAGGTGAATCTAAATAACCAATTAATTTATAAAGTCATGACGTAAACTTGAAGAATATTCCTCTTAGAAGTTTTAGTTTGCCATTAGAATTCTAAGTTTTATTTCAGCTCTTTCTTTTTATATTTTTTTTTATTTTAGGATTTGTAGATACAAAGTTGTGTGTAAAGCATTGGCATGTTTTTCAAAGCGACAGAGGTAGTTTATGGCCCATTTCAGTAGTCCCTTGTGATAAATGAAACAAAATTTATCATCTTCTTTTATTAAATATCTTCTGAATCAAGCAATTAGTAACGAAGTAACCTGCCGAAAACTAGAAAACGAATCTTAGATGTTCATAAGATATTATTGTTACGGTATTTATCATTTTCGGGGGTATAGGTACCTATATCTTCTAATAGTTATTATGGATGGTAGTAAAACTACAGACAGTAATATTACAGTGTAAAAAATAATAATTTATAGACTGTGGTAATATGGAATAATTGTATATACAATTTTACACTTCTAATGAAACGTAGCAAAACTGGTTTATAAAAATCTAATCATGTCACGACTACGATTGTGGTAATATATATAATATAAGCATTATTCCATTGCATTTTTTACTAACTAATACTTACTAGACGGAAAATAAATACTTGAGAAATGAGCAATTTTAAAATCAACATTATATTATTTTTATAATATATTTATTTATTTACAACTTTTTAAGTACTTTTAAGTAGGAAAATTAGCGAGAATAGTTGTTAACCAACTTTAAATCATTATATATCCTAAAATGTGTATTTAAAATGAAAAATGATGAAAGAAACCTAAAAATTATTTTTAAATACGTATTCAACGATACCCCGCTTAACATAAGTTCGTCGATTTTCATTTTTTTTCTTTTTCACATTATGGAATCTAGCAGCCCCCATTTTTTTTGTCACCTATCTAAGAACACTTGGACTAATGAGACGAATCTAAAGATACCTTAATTAAAGAAATCCATCGAGTGATTTGGAAGATATGAGAGAATAAAGAATCCCAAAACAAACAAACATACAAAGATAGACGCGAAAAACATAGCCCTTTCCTTGCAATCAGGTAAAAATATAGGTTTCAGACAAACTTTCATCCCCTGTTTTACCCCCTTATGGGATGAATTTCGAAAAATGCTAAAACACGTATTTATTTAATTGTGTTGAAGAGCATTAATACCAAGTTTCAAGTAATTCTGATCATAAATAATTTATTGGGTTGTATTATAAAGTGCTTTCCCGTGTGAATGAGATAATCTACCGCGATTAAAAGTAGGTAGCCTATGTTACTTTTCAGCCCTCCAACTATCTCGACACATAAAATCACCCCAATTCATCGCTCCATTTCGACGTGAAAGAAGGACAAACAAACAAACACACTTTCTTCACATTTATAATATTAAGTATGGATTACCTTATATTAGAAATGTTGTTCGGAAATAGGAAAACAGCGTATTTTAATAAGTCCTTTTGTGCAAATCCTGGCCATCGAACCCTACATCACTATTGTGATGTGCTGACGCCCTTACACACAAGTAGTATTTTTGCACAGTACTTAGCATTTCACAGCCATCTTTCATTGCACTTTACGCGTAAAAATTCATCTTAGTCTAGTGTATGTGCCTGCACTTGATACTTAAGCCATGATCACTATTTCGACCCCTGCACGGGGCAAATAATAGGATCAGTCTGTCCGCTACTTCACCTATCCTATCCTTCACTTTTTATAGGAACAGGAAGGTTAAGATGGCTCTTGTATTTATTTTGAAGGATAAAAATAATGTTGCGTAATAAAAATAATTTCATCGAATAACGAATTACATCAACTTGTTCGTTAGCGTAATTAGTTATGGCATTAACAGATAGAGGCAGGTAAAAATTAAGAGTAATTAAAACAGATAAATCTGTCGATTTGATATCTACCCTATATGTACCAACTTCTGTATCCAAAAGCCGCGTAATCTATTCAGATAAATAAAATTGAAGTGTCTGTTTGTAATTTCAAAATAACGGCTCTTTATTAAATGCGTATGAAGGTATGTATATACGGTACTTATAAGAAATTGCCAATTCTTTTTTTTTGTCTATCTGTTTGTTAAAGCTAATCTCCGAAACAGCTGAACTGATTTTGATTGGACTTTCACTGGCAGATAGCTGATATGTTATAAAGAGTAACTTAGGTTACTTTTATTATTTTATTAGATAATGCGAGGGTAAATCGCTAGTAACTAAAAACAATGTAATGAAACACCTGAAAATGCTTATTAAACTACATTTAATGCACTACTTTTCGTATATTTCGTATATTATAAGAAATTTATTCTATTGTATAATGTACCTACTAGCTAAATTAAAATTCATGTTTGTAAAAGTTCAATACAGGTCAAATAATTTATAAACCTAATATAAAAATAACAAATTTCTTGACTTTGTGTGAACTGTGAAGTTGAAAATTCTACCTCTGTGGACGGAAAATTTTCTTGAAAATTATATAAGACTACCTTAGAGATAAGGCATAAAAATCATTATAAATCATTATATGTGTATTCATAAAAAGAAGAATCATTCAAATCTGCTCATAGAAGATATCGGGTAACATAAACAAAAAAATAAACACCGAATTCAATATCTACGTCGCAATATTCTTATCTAAATAACTTCAAAAACGCCGAATTAAGGAATAAATCTGGAATTGTAGATGTTACTTGTACATATATGTGGCAAAATTAATTCTTAAATTCGTTTATCCTGTGTTTTATGATTTATCCTAGACTTATATTTATGTTTCTAGGGATAAAAAATTGCCAGAAAATCTCTCCTCCAGTCTAATCATCTCCAAAATACAGATTAAATTTTGATAAGAAACGTGTTTTTTCATTTTAGTTAGACTTTTTTACAAACAAACAAAAAATATAGTCTCCATATTGACGTTGTTTGTACATAGAACAAAATGCTAAAAACCGAATCAGGGGAATGTACGAGTAAGAAGAGAAATAAAACCAATCCAGATTTTTTTCAAATTTTTTGTTTGTCTGTTTGTACGGGCTCATCTCCAAAACTGTTAGATTGATTTAAATTAAATTTTGCATGATGGTACCTTATATCCCCGATCAACATTTTAGATACTTTTCATTCCAGAGAATTAAAGAGTTCCCGTGAGATAGTTAAGAAACTATAGTAACTTATACAGCTTAATATTTATTATTTTGTAATGTACGTAAAATATATATATATATATATATATATATATATATATATATATATATATATATATATATATATATATAGTAAAAAAAAATAAAGTACTTACCAATAAACTTAAGGTACTCGTCGAAATTCTCCGACGATTTTAATTTATATTTTTTGCCGAGATATGTGTCCATTTTCAACTTCACTAGCAATTCACGTCAGTTATTCAAGGCGAGCCAGCACAGTATAAACAGTATTTTCTGAGATACACGTTTAGTACATTGACCAATATACGGGCTTTGCTTATTTTTTTAAAACCAATTTATTTAATCTTCAGTGAAGTTTTTAAAATCTCTCGATCAACGAAAGCTAGAAAATTCATTCTTTTTAATTTATTGACATATACATGTAAGTATTTACTCAGTAGTATCTGCCAGTGTGTGTATATTTTATTTAAAAAAAAATAAACCTATCCTGTGGAGACTTTTGGTACGAATGAAAAAGTCTCCGGCATAATAACCTAATAAAAACAAAAAAAAAACAAATTTCATTAATTATTCATCAATATCATAAAAACGCTACAGACACACATACACATTTCCTCAATTATTATATAGGTACGATTTATATTGAAGCTGGACTGATCTATACAATTAGTATTAAGATGATAATAGATTATTTCCACACGCTATAAAACGTGCTTATATGAAAATTCTTTCATTTTAACACGCTTAAACCTTGCACTATATAATATATATGAAATTAAACACTACTAAATGTAGTAGAGTGTCTTGAGTTTATATTTTGGTTTGATTTTACTAGTTTTTGCGACTTGCCCGCTCCCTGTTTCTGACGTCATCCTCGTTTGATTATTTGAATCATAGAACATATTTCAATTTCTCAGATCGTTTTACACATTTTCGATAAATTAATGATGTATTTATTTCGTAAAACTTTGGGTAAGGGAAGAAGCTTGTTATGGAAAAAACTGGAATGGTAATAGCAGCTATTAGGTATCCTCAGCTTATAATCTACATATATCTATATTCTATATAATAAAATTCTGAGTCGATTGTGTACATTAAATATTTTTTGGAAAATCTTATTGAAATAGTCATTGTTATTTTATAATATACAGAGGCCGAATCTATAGTTTTTAGAATTTTTGTTTGTCTGTCTGTCTGTATGTCTGTGACAGCAACACGGAAAAACCACAGGAGTGTTTTTGATGTGGTATAATTACTTTTTACTGCAGGAAAATATTTATACTTACTAAACATTAAAACGTAAGTAGGGACGAAACCGAGCGGAGCGAGAGTTTATAAATAAAATGCGACTCCTAATACGTAAAACGCAAATAAAAAAATTTAAGAACACACTATCGAAATTATAAAGATAGCCAGTGTTTTTGTAAAACTGCATTTTATTTTTCGTTAACTTACTATTAGCCGTTAGGTATAACAATTTAAAAATTAGTGTTACAAAAAAAAAACATCAGCTCTTTACTAAATTCCAATATACATAAAAAGGCGAATAAAAGCGATTCGGATAGCAAGGATTCAGAAGATTAAAACAACTTTCGTTCGAGCTTTCCGTGCCTGGGTTTTAACATTATTTTTTTATTCAATCAATATTTATTCAATCTTCTCCGGGTAAAAAGGCTGTGACAGATATAAAAATAACTTTTGTCTACGGATCCCTAAAATATGTTAATAGACTGTAATTTTCTGATAAATGAATTAATTATATATCTATATGGTAAAAAAGCACGATTATTTTATATTACATAATATGATGCTCTTGCGCAAATGAACAGAAAAAACTAACTAGTTTTAGGTTAGTATGTTAGTAAGGATTATTAAGAAATTAAGAACACTTAGGCGAAACTCGTGGTCACGCCACTGTTTATATAATAGTTTTAAGTAATTTAAACTGAGTTTGAATAAATTTCTGATTTGTTCACATTTGTTCACATTTTTTATTGATAATAATGGGTGATGGCAGTCAAATGCTTGCCTTTCGGTTTTCCCTATAAAGGAGTACATGAAACACGTTAATAAGGTAGTACATAAATATAACATATTTTACTGACTTGTCTGTATTAGATAATGAGTGGTTTTTAAACACTCAATGTTTTTTTCTCTTTATTGTAAATGTTAACAGTTAGACTCTTGCATCTTGTTTATAATTTTGAAGGACTACAGTTCCAAGTTCATTTTAATATCACAAATGACTTTTTTCATTTAAGTGGAAAATATTCACCTATTGGCGACTAAAGGAGTCCTCTTGCAACAGTCTTGTACATGAATAATGAATATTCGAATAAAACATGATAAATAAATGAATATAATAAATAATTCTTAATCAAAGTATAAAACATTTTATAAAATATAAATTTTATAAGTCATTATAAATTATACATATTCATAAAACTACATTCACGTAACTGTGCCCCTGAACAAATGGCTCAATCTTTAAATGGCAATAACGCATAAACGTGAATATCGCATTTTAAATGACGGTAAAAAAGAACGGCAAGGATATGTATATGACCTTTGGCTGTGATTTGATTATGAGATTTAAAAAAAATCTATACTAATATTATAAAAAGGAAAAGTTTGCGAGTTTGTGGCGTTGTAGGGGGTAATCTCTGGATCCACTGAACCGATTTAGATGAAATTTAGTAAGAAGATAGCTTGAGACCCTGTGAAAGACATGGACTTTTTATCCCGGAAATCATCCCTTAAGAGGTGAAAATGGGGATGAAAGTTTGTATGGGTAACCAAGCTAGGGACGAACTCGAGCGAAGCGAGGGTGAGTCGCTAAAAGTAAATATAGTTTGAATTGATTTTTTTAAGTCAATGGCATCTTCAAAATGATTAAATAAAAAAAAATTATATGATATACAATCAGGTTTTTACTGATTACCATATTTAGTAGCGTATACATTTTTTTCCTACTATAAAAACGTGGCTTAAGAATTTGTATGTCGTGTTTCCGTATTATCAACATTAATGCTGTTAACCTTTAACCTGCACTTAGTTTTTTATTACCGTAGTAGTATAAATTACATATACTTACTTATAAAAATAAAAAGCCAAGATATTCAATTTGGTGTACAGAACAAGGCAACCAATCAATAAAGTAAAACAAATCTTGATTATAAACTTATCTTCTTGGGCTTGGGAAGCAAAAAAGAAGTAAAAAAGCTTTACGTTCTCGACCCAGATTCGAAATATTTTTATAGCATAAAAGTGGAATAATTTAATGATGAATTAAACATTTTGATTTTGATATAACTAGTTTGAAAAGAATTCTTCTTAGAATGTTCGCCATTCTCGAAGGAATGAGTTTTAGGGCACTCAACTTTTTATCTATATAATTTAGTCTAATAAGTTATATAATGTCTTGTTGTGATATTTATTTGAGCATTCATATTTTTAACTGACTTCCAAAAAGGAGGAGGTTCTCAATTCGTCGGAATCTTTTATTTTATGTAAGTTCACCGATTACTCGAAGACGCTTGAACCGATTTTGAAATATATTTTTTTTGTTTCAAAGGGTATATTTCCCAGGTGGTACCATATATTAAATTTTATCGAAATCGGTCGAGCAATTTCTTAAAAAATCAACATAAAATTACTTTTTTAAATAAATTGTTTAATCGAATATGTTATTAAAAAACTTTCTTCTTACAAATTACCTGCTTATTACGGCTACATTAAAAATAGAAAAATAAAAACTTAAAAAATCCGACTGCCAGGCACTAAAATGTAAAAAAACTAAACGGGGGTTTTCATTTAGAATTTCATTTAGAATCTAATCAGATATTTTCTAAGTTGTTTTTTTTAAGTTATTTTTTTTATGATGATATTCTATTACTATAGTGTTATCTGCATAATGGTAAGTGGTGCGTGACACGTAATTAATTTTCATCACACTGCGTGATACACGACAATCTTGTGACATTTTCCATAGAGTTTAAACAAATAATAATACCATTATAAAGATAACTTTGTTAAAAGAAAGAAAGTAAACATCACAACGGTAAATTTCGACTTTAAGGAAAAGTCATAGAACTTATAATAATGGCTCCACACATTACCAAAATTATTCATCCAAATAAAGATGAAGTAACACTTGTATGTATATGTCCTAGGAGAGTGAGGATTCGCTCTACGTAAGCTGGTTGAGTAGATTATAGTTGTATTTATTTAAAAATAACGCCTGACAAAAAGACATAGCAATCACTATATCTCTGGTTTGTTACAGCTTTGCGTGTTGGTTTCTTCTTCAATCAAAGGAGAAAGAGAAAAAAGCAATCATGAGGACTGCCGACAGAAATCAAGACTTAAAACTATAAACAAACAGTTGCTATTTTTGGATATTCAAATTAATTGTTTGACCTTAAATTAAAATTTGTAAATTAAAACTTTTTAAATTTATCTGCTTTTGACATCTATCGGCATTCTGAGTGTTAGCGTTAACACGTCACGTGACCATGTCGATCATTCGATGACGACTTACATGAATTTACTCCACATCCAAACCTGCCTAAAGAAGTTTTCACTTTAAAATGGTGCTAGCGATAGTTACGTTATCGGGATGGTGGGTTGTAAATTGTAATGAAACAAAGTTCCTCGTCGAAAGGGTAATTACAACTAACTTTATTTCTTACTGTTTACGTTTATATAGATTACATTAGTGCAGGAGTGTGTCGGTTCTCAACAAAAAACAGCCCTCAAATTATTTATCCTTTGACAATATATTAATAGTTTTGCATTTGCATTTTTACATTTCGCAATAACCAGATCCTTCCGAGAAGGATATCTAAATAGCTGGGTTATATAACTCCTCCGCCCATAAGAGAAAGGCGTGCTGAAGACGAAGGCTGATACAAGTACTGTAGTTGCTGCAAGATATGTTTCAAAATTCCAACGGCTGATTTGCTCTTCTTCTCCTCTAGAGTCATCAGACTAACCACCAATATCAACTTGACCTGGTTACAAGAATTGGAATTTTTCTTATCAGATTTGATTTGCTTTTTATTTTATAATAGTTTTTTTACCGAGTTCAAAAATATCTGATTAGGTATCTATTCTAAATGAAAACCTCCGTTTAGTTATTTTTTGCATTTTAGTGCCTGGAAGTCGGTTTTTTTTTAAGTTTTTATATCATAATTAATTCTTTAACT